GCCTCTAATTCCTAGATGTTATTTATTAATATTTAGACCACACATTTTTGTATTTATTAATGACTCTTCATTACCACATCTTTTATAAAACATCTTGAGTATTTTAAGCACCCTATGACCATCTTCACCATCCATTCCTGCTAGCGACTTTAAAATAATGAACACCAAAATGACCAAGAAGTTTGAGAAGTGAACCTTTAACATAAGTAATTACTAACATGGCCAAGCTACACACATGGCTTGAGAGAGGAATCTCGAGAAGGACCCTCAAGCACGGGGTTGGGTCCAAGCTCTAAATGTTTTACCAATGAGGAGCAATAAAAATTCGGGGTGCCTGGGTGGCTCAGTTGGTTAAGCGACTGCGTCGGCTCAGGTCATGATCCCGGAGTCCCAGGATCGAGTCCCGCATCACCAGGGAGTCTGCTTCTCCCTCTGACTCTCCCCCCTCTCATTCTCTCTCTCAAATAAATAAATAAAATCTTAAAAAAAAAAAATTCTCTCCCTTTTTCTGCACCATAACCTTAGGAGAGAAGTCTTCTCATCCAGCACAAGCCAGGCCACATCTCCCAGTGTTGGAGTACATAAGCCCTAGGGAATCGGGGCAAAGGAGAAGCCTCCTCCAAGAACCTCACTGTTCTCATTTCCAGGAGCGGTCATGGTCAGCAGAACAGCTAATCTCACTGCCAGGAGAGATGGAAGCCAAAGGGAGCCTCAAATAACTGTGTACCAGGATGTTCTGGGCTCTGAAATAGCTGCCTTCACCTCATGGGCCACTTGAAGAAATCTATACAGAACTTAAAAATAAGTTGTAATAGAGCCTTACCCAACAGAAGCAAGATTCTGCCAGACACTTTTGCTTCTTCCCTTTTTGTTTTCCAGAGTTTCTTCCTTAGCTTCATTTTTTTCCCTCCCTAGTCACTCACTCCCTGGATAGTTTAATTCTCCTCTGGATATAACCATTACGCATAGTAGATAGGCAGAAATGCACTTTCCTTGGTGCTGCTATTGCTGGTCTCTTGAGTGGGGGCTTCCACCTCCTCTTGACTTGTCTAACCCACATCCATCAGCTTGCTCCTCATGCTCACATTGCCCCTATTTTGTTTAATGACTTCACCATCCACATACCTATTCACACTACAGACCTCAGTCATCTTTCTTCCTTCTCTCTATCATGCCCCCCTTCCCCCAAACACATTCAATCAGGCCCCAAGTACTGTCACTTCTGCCTGTGGAATGTTTCTGGAATCCTGGGACTTCACAGGAACCGGTTAGCTTGTCTCAGACCAAAGTCGGTTTCCAATTTACTTTCCATGTGATCATCAATTATTCTTCCAGAACAAAAATCCCGTTTTAACTCTCCCCTGCTTCATAACATCCAGTAGTTACCCATTGTCTGGATAAAGATTTCTTTTTTTTTTTTAAGATTTTATTTATTTATTTGACAGAGAGAGAGAGACAGCGAGAGAGGGAACACAAGCAGGGCGAGTGGGACAGGGAGAAGCAGGCCTCCCGCAGAGCAGGGAGCCCGATGTGGGGCTCGATCCCAGCACCCTGGGATCATGACCTGAGCCGAAGGCAGACGCTCAACAACTAAGCCACCCAGGTGCCCCAAGGTTTATTTCTTTAACGATGTGTACACGATTCCTCTGGGTTCCTTCACCTTCAATCAAAATTCACCTTTCTGCTGAATTCTTAGCTCGCTGCTTTCTCTCAAAATGACATCCAGTTTTTCCAACATCTTAGCCCAGAAGTGATTTCTTGATATGCTGTCTAGTTTGAGTTGCATATTTATATCAACTAGAGAGTCCTCTGGAGATGACTGTAAGTATTTGAGGTGGGGGAGCAGGGAGAGGGGGTTGGGGCAATGTTGTGAGCAAGGAACATGCTAGAGCAGCACTGTGGTTTGCTTACTGGGCATGCTGCCAATGGTAGCCCCAAATCACCCAGGGCCACGGTTTGCTTCCGGAGAAGAATGTTCAGATTCCAAATATTGTTAAAATGAAAAGATAGTCGGCAAGAATCCTATGCACTTTTGGGACTAATTCCTTTTTTTAAAATATTTTTTAAGTTTTTACTCTAAGTTTTATCTATTTTCGTAAAATATCTGCACTCTCTCTATGGATGAAATCATTTTAGCACCTTCTATTCCTTTTCCCTCCAGCACTACTGGGGAAGATACACCTTCAACAAATTATCATCATTTATTCAACAAAAGGGTACAAAGCACCATGAGCAAGAAATATAGGGTGCCCACAAAAGAAACCCAACATAGGGACACCTGGGTGGCTCAGTCGGTTAAGC